CTCTCAGTGCAAATTCTCTTCCAAGACTAAGACACAAGGGAAATATACACTTTGACTGACAACCACGCATGCCACCCAGAAGGGGAAGTGGCCGAAGAACATCAACGAAGGGGCGAGCTAAGCCCTACATCGTTCAGCAAACTACTATGAATCTGGATGGAGACCTGGTTAGCCAGTAGCGAGGCAACATCTGGGGACTCATGGGCTCAGGGTCAGTGACACAGCCACAGAGGTCTAGAGTGGAGAGCAGGGCGGCCAGCCGATAAAAAGAGGCTGGACAGACGTAAGAACACCCACACTTGCAGATGATGCCCATTTGACTGGACTTCAATGATTGGATAAACAGAGCTCAACCCGAAGAAGAAAGAAGAGGGAAAAAAAGCATCATCTGATACAATTCGATCAACATGACCTACACCTATGAATGCAGTCGCTCAAAAGAGGAAACAAGTCCCTGCTGCAAGAACTATACCCACCCCCTCCACACAAAGGGTAGACAGAGATGGGCAACTTAGACACTGGCTACCCGAAATGGGGGGAGGGATACAAAGGCAAGAAGTGACTGGCTTACAAGCTTCCAAGAGGGAACCTAGATCCAGAGGGCGTGGAGGAAGGTGGAGTCTCCAGTGAGTAGTGTCCAGCCTGTCCAGGAAGGGCTGAAGAAATGAAATATAGATGGGTCTCTTGTGACGCAATGGTGAATAACTGTTATCAGGACTGATTGAGAGGGTTGGAAATCTAAAGATGGACATTTTGTAACAAAGAGGGGAGTGATAGATTTATCAGTCTAAGAGCAGAGGACCCTGGGACCATCAATGGAGAAGAGCGAAGAACGGAATCCTACCCAGAGAGGCAGCGAACTCTGGGATGGAGGCAGAAAAGACAAACTCAAGAGATGGTGGGGCTGGGGGCTTGGGATCAGGAGATGGAAAGGGGCTGATGACTGTGGTGGGAGGAGGGTGCAGGTTTACAGGGTACACCCCTTGGTTGGGTGAGGATGCATGGACAGGATGATAACTATGCCAATGAAATGATGGATGATGGAATGAATGTAGAGCTGATGTTCTCCCAGTGTAGATTACCACACAATTCACAATAAAACATTAAAAAAAAAAAAAAAAAAGACACAGCAGGAGCTTAAAGATGGGACAATCTGAGCATAAAAAATAAAGAGATTTCATTTAATCACAAAAGTTCTTAACAGAAACAAATTCTAGGAGGTCCTAATACTAAAAAACAAACCAAATAAAGTTTAAGAAGCACACCTCCTCGCCACCCAATAAGAATCAACAAATGTCTTAAAGATCTTTCTAAGTGTAACTGCTCCCTTTGGTTTCTGAACCTATAATCCTTAGGGAAGCAAACAGTCTCTGCTTTCTACTGTGGAGTGGTTGGTGAGTTCCAATGGCTCACTTCTGCTTTCAAATTGAGCACTTTAACCACTGCACTACCAGGGCTCCTATAACTAAACAAGAGCTTCTCTTGTCTTCATTGGCAGTAGTTTTTACACCATTTCTCATAATTGCCTATTTCAGGAAAAGAAGCATTCTTCATGCCCTTCCCAGGAAACAGAATTATATTTCAAGGTAAATCAACAGCCCAAGTTAACAACGGGAAACTCTTTCCAGAAAGAAACTACAGGATTAGAAAACTTTGTACACACTAATAACTGAAAAGAGCTCTGGTAGCATGGAGTCCTGGTGTGGCGCTGCAGGCTGATGCATAGACTGTAAAGTCATTTGAACTGCAAGATCAGTGGTTCAAGCTCACCAGCTGCTCCTCAGAAACCTTATACAGGGTCACTCTGGGTCGGTATCGACTAGATGGCACTTACCAATAACATGGTAGCGTAGTGCCTACGAGTTTGACTGCTCAAAATCAGCAGTCCAAAACTACCAGCTGTTCCATGGGAGAAAGATGAGGCTTTCTACTACTGTAAAGATTTACAGTCTCGGAAACCCAATTACAGGGTCGCTGTGAGTGGGAATCAACTCTATAGTACATTAACATCAACAATCACCCAAATACAATTCAAGCAACAATTCTCAAGGGATGCTAAAACCATTAACACACTAATAATCAACTCAATATTCATTGAGTGCTGGATATCAACCCACAAAATTATATGAGTGCAGGAAGGAAAACAAAACTTTCCAATGGAGTAATTGACTTTAGCATCTTTCTTTGTCAATAAACAGGTATTATATGCAACCTAATATGATGCAAAATGTAACTCAAAGCATCACCTACAAAGCATTATTTGTAAAAATACTTGACTCTAACCAAGTCTGTAGATCTAACTTCTAGTTTTCAGGAAATAAAGGAATTAATCAAACAGTATCACAAAGCAATCAAACCTAAAAGGTGAGAGATTCTAAAGGACACTTCAACTGATCTCTTCAACAGGTCAATGGAAAAAAGGAGAAAGGGCACTCACTGTCCTACATGAAAAGGTAAGTTAGCTGGGTGGTGCAGATTGGTACCATGTTTGACTGCTAAGTGAAAGATTAAAGGTTCCAGTCCATCTACATGTGCCTAGGAAGAAAAGCCTGGTGATCTACTTAAAAACAAAACAAAACAAATAGAGCACAGTTATACTCGGACACACAGTGGTCACCATGAGTCAAAATTAATCTGGTGGTTAACAGGAAAGAACTGAAAGCAATGCGTGGATCTTTTTTTGGATCAAGCAAACAGATTAGGGACAATTAGAATATTTTGAATAAGAATTAAGTATTAAGCAAGTTTCAGAAAACTTTCTAGTAAATAGTACTGTTATATATAACAGAATGCAGTGGCTCTAGAGAATAAGAATTGGACTGAAAACAACAAAGTCAGGAGTTCTAGCCCACCAGTTACTTTGTCGGAGAAAGATGAGGCTTTCTCCGCCCTCACAAGTTTACAGGGTCACTGAGTCAGAACCAAGTCAATGGTAATTAACAATAACAGCAACATGATGTTATAAAACAAAATGTTTTAAGGCTACATAAACAAGTATTTAGGGGCAAACTACCTTGTCTGTAGTTTACTTCAAAATACTTAAGCAAAGAAAATAATCTGATTGTTTTATATATGGGGTACATTATTCTATTTTCTGAATTCTTAGAAGTTTTAATAATTACAATTTTCAAATTTTTATACTGAAATAATGATTTTACATTAATACCTAATTGATTGCTTAATATATTGTTGTTGAGTGCCATCAAGTTGACGCCAACTCAAAGCGACCCTGTATAGGGTTTCCGAGAGGCAGCTGGTGGGTCTGAACTACCACCATTGTGTTCACAGTCCAGTGTTGATCCTACAGCGCCACACCAGGAGTATTTTACTATACAGACATGCCTTATTTTATTGAGCGTTGCTAAACTGCACTTCACAGACATTGCCTTTTGTACAAATTGAAGGTGTGTGGCAGCCTTGTGTTGAATAAGTTTATTGGTGCCATTTTTCCAACAGCATGTACTGCCCTTGTGTCTCTGTTTCACATTATAGTATTTCTCACAAAACTTCAAACTTTTGTGTAATGCTACTGCACACTTAATAGACTACAGTATATGTGCACTGGGAAATTAAAAAAACGTGTGTGGCTCCCTTTGTCACAAAATTTATTGGAATATTTCCATGATTGTGGTGGCTGGAAATGAACCCGCAGTATCTCTGTGAGAGGCATGTAAATGAGGCCAGAAATTATCAAAAGTATCTAGGATTTAATAACCACAACCATAATTTCTAGAGTATCTCTAATTGCGAAGTACAGTACTAAATACACTACACTTATGTCCTTTAGTTTTATGAGTTATACACCACTCATGATAGTCTTTCTATTATACACATGAAAAGTTTGCACAGGAAGTGAATGGTCACTAATACTGAGCGGTGGACCCAAGATTCCTCTCCAGGTCTGACCCCAAAGGCAGTGCTTGCAACCACTATTCCGTATTGTCTAAAGTCCATCATTATAGATTCTTTTCAATGAATATCCACATAAAAGAGACAGGCAAAGAATTTTACCCAGAATGACATATTCCTGAAGGAAGTATTTCTTTGTGAAATGTGAGTGAAAGCATGTCATCCAATGTAAGATAATGCAATCAAGCCAATTAACATCCACCACTGAACTTTTAAATAAAATGTCACCTTGCGTTACTCGGGTGATAATGAGTAGCATGAAACTGCTTCAGCTGTTCCCATGTAAGATCGGGAATGCACAATGGATCGCCACCGGAGATGACTGAGTAAGTGTGGTCAGGAAGAAGACGATTTTGAAGGTGCTGTGAGAAGATTCTCTCATTATCTGTCTTCAAATTAGAAGCAAACAAATAATATAAATTACTCTTGTTAATACAGCAAATCAATCACATTCTGGAAGCATATAACTATAACATCTTGTTCTAACAATGAATATAGACATTCATGTAGATACTGTTGAATGAAAGCATTCAGTTTACTATAATAATCTATGCAGAGGAGTCAAGGGCTGGCTCTCTCTGGGGGGAAAAGAAAATTTACTTTTTAGTATGCACTGTGTAAGCACAACTGAAAGCAAAGAGCAGGGTACAGTGAAATTACGAAGAAGGTCCTAGGATTCATTTTGTTCCTAACTATATGGGAGATGGAGAGTCAGGGGAGTTCAAAAAAGTTTTTCAGTTGAAAGTGGACACAGGCAAGAAATCGGAAAACATGACAGACACAAAGGAGTTTCACAAAATTTGTGGAAAAATGGAATGGAAAGATAATGGAATTTTTCCATAAGTTTTTGAAGCTCCCTCATACAAGCAATCCCAAGCACTTCAGCATAGCATAGTTCAGGGACAGATTCTGAAAGTCAAGACAGGAAAAGATAAGGATTTAGGACAAGAGTTCTTTAACTTTTTGGTCTCAGGATACCTTTACATGAATAAAAATTAGCGAGGTTCCCAGAGACCTTTTGATTAAATGGATGTTTACCTATGATATAGTTCTATAGATATAGAAAACAGTTTTCCTGTACTAGAAATGTAGGTTAATAGATATCACACAGTAATGTCTTAATATCATTATGAAAAAGCTTTTACCTCAAAGACCTCACCAGGGGTTTCCATACAATATAGAAGACACGGTTCTAGAATAAACAGCCACCTGCCCCCTCACCATCCTATTCTTCAGCACACAGCAAACTAATTCAAGAAGTTTCATTAAGAATATTAAATGAGTAGAATATCAACTATCTTCCAAACATATTTATGTTTCCTAATTTAAACAGCTAAGATCATAATTTTAACACAATATAAGAAACTGAAAGACTTACAAATGCTCCCTTCATTTCATTAAAGACAACTCCTTTAAAGATCAAGGGCGTTTGGGAGTCACTTGGATTCTCATGTTCTAGTCTCCATCCTTCCTGCCTAAACAATGATGAATAATTATGAGATGAAAAAGATTCCAATACTTTAAGTCAACATCAATAAAGGGGTCATCACATACCAGAAATCCAGTTCCCGTAAGCATGGGAAAAAGGCTGCATCCAAATACACTGAAAGGAGATTCTGAAAATCCTTGGGGTTTTGTGTGGAAAATGGATACAGAGTATAATCACTAGCTGGGTACAAATGAAAAACAAGATTAGAAGATACAACATTCTTGCTAAAGCTATTTTCTAGTCTAATTTCACCATAAAAAGGGGGGTTCAACATCAATGGAACAAATGATACCAGTCTTACGCTTTGATCCAGTCCCATACTACTATCAGTATTTTGCTTATCCTTGAGGTTCCACTTTTCCAGATCCAACACAGGTCTGGCACGCAATGAACACTAATTCCTCCAGTAATCACTGATACAATTTAAGAGATACTATTTTAGATGCCAAAAAAGATAACCTCATTCTCTAAGGATATTAATTTAATTTGATCTTTTAATTTCTCTTTCAAGAATACTTTGGCCCTGGATACCCACAGATAAATGTAAAAACCTCCCCCAAAAGCTGAGACTGTAAATTCCAAAAAGGCAAAGTTCCCCCCCTCCCCAAAAAAAAAAAAAAAAAGAAAAGCTAAAGAGGATAGAGAGAAACTCTGTTAACTGATGGTATGTGGAGGGGATTATAATCAATGTAATGAAACAAGGTATATGAATGTTTGAATGTGAAATCGATGATGTGCCCTGAAAACTTTCACTCAATCCACAATAAAAACCTTTAAAAAAAAAAAAAAAAGAATACTTTGTTCATACCATCAGACTATATATAATCTTTATATTTTACAAAAGTAAAACCCAACCAGGTATATCATCAAGATGAATAATACTGTTACAGAAGCCTAATTCTGTACAAATATTCCCAAAAGAAAACCGTTCTAAACTTTTCCAGAAAAAACTCAGATACCACTTCCTGAAAACCCGACGTTTGATAATCTCACCATCATGTGGCTTTCCTAAAGGACCAAAGTTCAACATCTTTTGCCTCAGCAGGAAGGTAATTACTCTCATGCAGTCCTGGTGTGGCTCTGTAGGAAACGCACTGGACTACTAACCACAAGGTTGGTGGTTCAAATCTACCAGTGGCTCCTCAGACCCTCTACATGGGGTCACTATGAGTTGAAACCAACTTAACAACAACATGCTGCCAATGACCCTATTTATTCTTAGAAACGAACTCATTTTGGTTCGGGACAATCTCACCTGTGAAGGCGTTCATGAACGTCGATAGTGACCTATTTAACATTTTAAAGAAAGGATCTCTGCATGGATATTTCTGAGAACCACAGAGAACTGTATGTTCAAGAACGTGTGGAACGCCAGTACTGTCCATTGGAGTGGTGCGAAACTGCACACTAACGGAGAGAGACAAAGAAGATAAACAGGTGACAAGAAGTGAGGGTTAACACCAGCACAGCTTTCAAACATGCAGTTCATCATTTTAATATTACAATCTTTCAACAAATGTTTTCTAAATATAATTGTTGAGATCACTGCTTCAGACAATAAAATTCTAATGTATATTACCGATGATATAAATTCATATAATCTTTTCTCTATATTTCAGGAACACTCTATCAAAGAAAATAAAGTGTTAATCAGATATTATTGTAAGCTACTCAATGTATGGTAGATCATTCTAAATAGATGGACCACATACCTAAATAAATTATTTTTGTCTTCTCTTGCCAGATGTAAATATCTAGCACCTGTGTTCTCATGGCTGAGTTGCACTGCAGTCAGGAATAACTCAGGAATAGGTGTCACCTGGATAAAAAAAAAAATTATAGTTATTTAAAATACATTAATAGGACTGATATGCTTGCCGCAAAGTAGACAATATGAGAACCTAACAATTCAAAACTGGAAAGAACATCAGAAACGATCTGTCCAAATTCCTCATCTTACAGATGAGAAAATTAAGGCCTAATGTTGATAATACATCCACTCCTCATTTAACAGCATGATGTTTCCGAAACCAGGGCCTTATTGAGATCGGGATTATGTAAAAATAGGTGGCCATATGAAATCAAAAAGTAGATGACCTCATCCCTAAACAACTGACAAATTATATCATTAGCTAAGTGTCAAAGCACTGAGAACCAACAAAGCAACCAGCGTGAGCGACACATAACCTTAGCTACCACACAGCCAGGGCTACTCTCGTCTCATACCTTCACACTTGACATTTGTTACTGGCAGATGTCCATTATCAATGCACAACGTAGTTTGATAATAGTCATATATATACTATTGTCAAAAATGCAAACTATTGGACAATAAGATAGTTGGTAAGTGAGGATTCAGTGTAATATATATATATATTAGCACCATATTTCGCTGTGTGGTAGGTATTTTCATCCCTATTTAGAAATGGAAAAATTGAGGCATAGAGGGATGAAATTTGTCCAACATCACCCAGACCCAAAGTTCAAAACGTGCTAGATCTGTGCTCTTTTGATATAGTACTCTACCTTCTAATAATGACTCTCACTTTTTGAACACATACCATATGTCCTTTGCATTTACAGATTTCATCTCATTTAATGTTCAAAATGATACTGTAAGAAAGGTAAATGCTGAAATAAGCCTTGGCCTGGAGCTCTCAGGAGCAAAATTTGGCTTCATCTAGTTTCTCATGAGTTCTCAATGTAGGGTAGGGTTATTACCAGTTACTTGTTTCTACCGGGAGGATCAGCTTATGATCAGCATGCACACAGAAGAGTCTCCAGAAAGTGGGAGATATAAATATTCCCAGTAAAAATGAAAGAACCCTTACTTCCAGGGGTGGTCACCTCCAAGCTTTATGTAAACCTCTATTCAGGATTCCACATTCTTTTGTATCAAAGAGATTTTTACTTCCAACTATGTTAGCTGTCCATCTTTCCTTCAATCACGATACCATAGTATTATGGTAACCACATGACTTATTCCCATTTTTCAGATGTGGTGAAAGTAACTTGTTCAGATTTACACAGCAAATTATTTGCAGAGCTGAAATTAGAATCTGGGTTTTCCCAGCCTAGTACAATTGGAATCCTGGTAGGGCACTGTAGGATAAGCACTGGACTCCTAACTGAAAAGTCAACAGTTCAAACCCACCAGCTGTTCCTCAGAAACTCTAGACAGAGTCTCTATGACTTGGAACCAGCTCAATGGCACTTAACAACAACAAAAACAGTTTAGTACAGGATCACAGCCACAGAAATGAGATGTTTAAAGCAGTCTGCTAAGTAACAATGTTTGCATAACTTATGGCTATAATGTTTCCAATTTTACTGAACTTTATAAGGAATAATCAGTGTATTTTAAATTATAGTATATACAACATTTACCTAATAATAGCTTTCAAGTATGCATTTCTCAAACAGCAATCATGGGTTTATTCTAAAAAAACATTTTCATAAAGCTTAAAAAACAAAGGAAAAGAATCTACTACTCTGACTAAGATCTACATGATACTGCTAATTTGTATTATAAATTTAAACTTCTTTGCATGGCCTATAAGGAACTTTACAAATGCTCTGACCTCCCTTTCAGGAACCCATGCTTTAGTCTAACTAAAAGGCCCTCCCATCCCTGCAGCTTGCCTTGAACTGCTCACATCACTGCTTAGCTTACTCATGCTAGAGCACCTACCAATAATCCTGCTACCTCTTCTTAACACAAACACCACTTTCTCCATCACTCCCTGTTCCACTCCCCAGAAGTAAATACTCTGTCTTCTCTTGTACTTTGTACTTCTGCTGTGACACTAATCATGAGAATGCTGTATTCTAAAATCGTTTGTATTGTAGGTAAATGTAAGTTGCTGATTTTTGTATTTCTGATGCTATCAACTATAGCATAAAGTCATCAATCAGTCAGATAATTAAAGTACTTATTTTTCATTTATTGCTGCTATTGCTGCTAGGCACTGTCGAGTCAGTTTCAACTCAGAGACCCTATGTACAATAGAAAAAGCAATGTGACAGCTAAAGCAAAAAACAAAAGCACAAAACAAGCAAAGAGAAAAACCAACAGAATCTATTACAAAGTCTGCAATCCCTTATCTGGAATTCTGAAACTCTAGGACTTGAAAACAATAAAAAGTTTTTACATAAATTCGTAACAAATTCTTTCGGGATTCAAAACCTGACCAGCACTGATGTGAGGCATTTCAACTTTTTATTTAGTACACTGCAAAAAGTATTGCATTTGGCTACAAAAATATTCATGTGTTTGACTCTGAGACCCCTCTGGGAATGTTACATTCTAAAATCTGAAAAATTTTGAGTATCAAAACATGTCAGGATGCAGGGGTTCTGTACTTCGTACTTCCTTAAGAACAATGAAATCAGTTCATGTGCAAACCCCATTCAGTTGTGCACTGCCTATGTGGTTGCAAGGACACCTGGTTCTAGGGATATGAGGATGAAAAAATCACTTCCTGCTCTAAAGGAGGTCGCCTGCCGGTAGAAATTGCATTTCTGTTATAATGTCGGCATATCAATAGCATGTCAAAATGCACCAGTACCTGGCTTACAGTGAACCCATGAATCTTCTCTCCTATTTTGTATTGCAGGGCCCTCTCACAGGCTTTACTACTTGTCCACCTCCAGGCTTCATGGTTCACACAGCTAGAATGAAGAAAAGTAACCAGAATTAGAAGATCTTTCAGAAAATTGTTTGGGTAGCATAATCCAGTAATATAATAATAAAAAAAAAAATCATCAATAAAGATATTGTAATATAATAATATCTAGTAATATAATAATAAAAAAAATTCATCAATAAAGATAATTAATTCAAAGAATAATTAAATGAGATATATTCCAAACATATGCCAGAAAATTAATTTCCTGTAAAGTTCTTTCATTTTGAACCTTTTATCCATTCAGCTAAACTTTCCCAATATCAACAAATAATTAAATGTTGAAAACCTGTTATTTGTACCAGTTCATAAACAACAGGAATACAACTATAATATAAAAATTTCAAGCAAAATATATCATTTGTATGTAACACAATTTTCATGTAAAAATTTCTTTTTACATCATAGTATTCTAACTGTCCCTCTCACACTACAATAATCAATTCAAATTAGAGTCAAATACCATGATACACTTAATAGATTGGTGGAAATGAAAAAGCTCCCAGGAGCTCTCATACTGGGAGTACAAATTGGAGCAACCACTTAGGAAATGCATTTAACATAATTCAGAAAAAAGTGAATATTAACAATTCTACCTCTAAAGAGATATCCTCAAAGAAATGTGTACTTATGTACCAGCATACACATAAAAGAATGTCAGAGGGCATAGGCATAAGAACACCCACACTTGTAGATAATATCCACTTGACCTGGCTTCAATGACTGGATGATCAGAACTCAACTAGGAGAAGAAAGAAGAGGAAAAAAAAAGAGTAATCTGATACAATTTGATGAACTTCACCTACACCTATGGAAGCAGTAGCTAGCTCAAAAGAGGGAACAAATCTTTACAGCGAGGATCATTCCCATCCCCTCCATACACAGAGTAGACAGGGATGGGCAACTTGGACAATGGCTACCCAGAATGGGGGGGTGGGGGGCTACAAAAGGAACAAATGACGGGCTTACAAGCTTTCAAGAAGGAGCCTAGATCCAGAGGGCATGGAGGAAGGTAGACTCTCCACTGAGTAGTATCCAATCTGTCTGGGCGGGGCTGATGAAAGAAGATGGGGATAGGACTCTTGTGACACAACAGTGAATAACTTTATCAGAAGTTATTGTGTGGGTTGGAAATGTAAAGACATTTTGCAGCCAAAGGAGGGGAGTGATCGACTTTGCAGTTTAGGAGTGGAGGTCCCTGGGACCATTAAGGGAGAACAGCGGAAAGCGACACTACCCAGAGAAGCAGTGATGCCTGAGATGATGACATGGAGAGATGGAGCGGCTGGAGACTCTAGACCCAGAGAGAGAAAGAGGGGCCGTGTGCTGATGGGTGGGGGTGGGGGGCAGGGTATACCCTTTGGTTGGTTGATGATACATGGAGGGGATTGTAATCATGGCAATGAAACGATATACGATAGAATGAATATAAAACTAATGTTCTCCCATGTAAACTATCACATAATTCACAATAAAAGATTAAAAAAAAAAAAAAATCAGCATTACTCCTAGCAGTACCAAATGCAACCAACCCAGATGCCCATCAACAGAAGAATGGATGAACAATGGACTATTCATTCAGTAAAATAATGTGGCAACAAAAATGAATGAAATGGAATGCCCATCAACATGAATGAATAAAACAAAATGTGAAACATCCATATAATGGACTATTATGGAGCTATAAATAGAGATGTGAGCACGGTGGCTCTAGAGATTAAGTACTGGATTGGAAACCACAAGGATGGCTGTTCGAGCCCGCCAACAGAGCCACAGGAGAAAAATGAGGTTTTCTGCTCCTGCACAGGTATACAGCCTCAGAAACCCTATACAGAGTCACTATGAGTTGAAATTAACTCAACAGCACTTAACAACATAAAAATAAGGTCTGATACATGTTACAATGTGGATTAATCCTGAAACCATGCTGAATGAAGCGAATCCGTTACAAAAGGACAGATATTATATGATCTCATATTTATAACATAGGTAAACATATAAAGACTGAACCTTACTAGTGCTACCAGGGAAGTGAGGAAGGGGTAATGAAGAAGTCATTGTGAGGGGCACTGAACTGTGAATGGTGATAGGAAAATTTGGATAATGGTTGCACAACATAATGAAAGACATGAAATGTCACTAAATTATGCGTAAAAATCACTGAATTGGCAAATGTTTTTTATTTATACTTTTATCGCAATTTTAAAAGCATACTACTGTTGTTAGTTGCTGTTTTTCAGTGCCGCAGAGTTGGTTCCGACTCATAGGGACCCTGTATAAGGTTTCCAAGGAGCAGCTGGTAAGTTTGAACCACTGACCTTGTGGTTCAAACCACCTTATGTGGTTGAGTATTTGTCCTACAGCACCACACCTTGTTGTTCTTTGGTGCCAACAAGTGAGTTCTGACTCATAACAACACTACATACGATTTCCGAGGAGAAGCTGGTGGGTTTGAAACACTGATCTTGCAGTCCAGTGCTCATCCTACAGTGTCACATCAAGACTCCAAAAAAATGTACTACAACATCAAAACAAGTACAGACTAAAACAACTATGTATAATAAAGATGTAGATCATACATCTGAAAAAAAAAAATACAAAGGATATTTGTAGTATTAGTCTATAAATAGGATCAAAAACAGGCATCACTAAATTAAAAAAAAAAAAAGATTTTATTGTATTTCTGGTCAATGACATTGTTTATATTCTTCCCAATGTGTAAGTGTTCTCATTACTTTGGTTTTAGTTGCTCCGTTCCCATTAATCTAGTCTCCCTGCCCAAAAATTACTTTTATAAAATCTAAACAGTGATTATTTCTGGGAGTAAGAAATATAATTATTAGCAAAAAGAGGCAATTTTAAGCTGACTTAATAGTGGTTCCACTTTTCTTGTAAATCCACCTTCACCCTATAACTAACTGGATTTGCTAAAAATGGGTAACAGAATTTATGCAGAATAGGCTTCTTGTTAAGCCTTTGTAGAGTATGGCACCTTAGGTGGAATCCAGAGCCCCATTCACAATGCTCTGAGTTGGGATATTCCCTCTTGAAAAGATATGTAGACCAACTCACAACAGCTGGGAGAACAGAGGATTCTTATTAACACAAAGACCTGCAGGAAAAATAAAAAAGCAGACTGTTTGGCTATTTGAATTTCAAGCAAGCTGTTTGCTTTGGAGGCATCAAGGAAAGAAAAGTTGGCCCATCAGGGAAAATCTTCTTCTAGGACTGAAACTCAAAGGGGATTCAAAAGCAGTCTAGTATGCTTGCTGGAGACCACCTGAATCTACTTGTGAGTGTCGGGGGTGGGGGGGTGGGGAATGCAGCAATGGGCTGAGTTTGACCATGTTCCACTGGCCCACTGACCTTGAGAGAAGAGAGAGAAGAGGAAGGGCTAGATGGTGTGAAATTTAGGAAGATGTGTGAACTTCTGAAGCCATGGACAATGACCTAGCTCCTGAGGGCTGAGAGCGATGCGGCCAGCTGGTCTGAAGTGCAGGAAGGTGTGCATGAACTCCCAAACGTGCAGTTGACCTAGCTTGGATGGCTAGTTGACCAGAACTTGAACAGACGAAGATAATGATGTTTGCTACTGAGAATAAGTGCAAATTGCCACAATTTGAACAACTAGACTTTCACCTAGGAATGCAGTGACTCATCAAAATTCCAAATAAGGATGCTTCAAGGAACAACCTTGTTTCCTCAGTGCACTGGGTTGTTGTTAAGGTGTCGTTGAGTCAGTTGCAACTGGGTTGATAGGGATGAGAAATTTAGTCACTGGCTATCAAAATGGGGGAACAGGGGCATTAAAGGGATGAAGTGGCTGGTTTATAAGCTTTCATGAGTGTGCTTAGTTGCAGAATGAGGAGGTTAAGATAGGATCTCCACTGAAGAGTTTCCCTCTTTCCCAGATGGATCTGATGAAAGAGGATGGGAAGCAATAGTGATAGAATTTTATGACTCAATTGTGAATAACTGTTAGCAGGATTATTTGGAATTGTCACAACTGTAATTGTAGAAGATGTCTAACTAAAAGGAGGGATTGGGTCATCTTTCATTTAGGACCATCAAGAAGGAAGAACATGAGTGGAGCGTGAGATGCATACCAATAAAGGAGGCGACTGAAAGATGGTGGCTATGTGCATGTGGGCAGAATGCTGGCTGACAGAATGTGCCCTTTGGATGCTTAAATGAATGTTTTGTTTTTTTAAGTATACATCGAATATTTTTGCCTGGTTCACTTGTGAAGTATAAGATGTAAATGGGGAGCCACAGGGAGGAAGTTGGATGAATGTTGTTGCAGGGACAGGGCTGTAATTACTGAGATGAAACAAGGTGTAGGCTTTGCTGAATGCACAGCTGATGATCCTGTCTGTAATCCTTCACCTAATTCACAATAAAAAGTTTTTAAAAAGTGACTCCACTTTTTAAAATGATTATTCTTTCAACTTTAATATACGTTTTATGGGTTTTTCTATGTTAATGTTGTAGCTTACAAAAATACGCACTTTTTAAAGAAAATATGCACAGGTTAAAAAAATTACCTGGTCATTGGCAATATGTTATGTGTCGTGGCATTGGTTCCGTCTCAAAGTGACCATGTACAGGGTTTCCGAGGCTATAAATCTTTACGGGAGCAGAAAGCCTCATCTTTCTCCTGCGGAACAGCTGGTAATTTCGAACTGCTGACCTTGCGGTTCGCAGCCCAATTCGTAACCACTACGCTACCAGAGCTGCTTATTGGCAATACTGGGCTATCTTATTAATTTAGCAAATTCTAGAATTGTGGTATAAAGAAGGATTTTAAGAAATTATTTATCCTCAAGAATGCACTCACAGAAAGAATATGCTACATTATTGATAAGTGCCGTCAAGTGGTTTCCAACCACAGCAATACTGTATAGCATTTCCAAGGAGCAGCTGACGAGCTTGAACTGCTCACCTGGTGGTTCAAACTGACTTTGCAAACCAGTTCATTAACCAGGAGAAGCAATACTAGTGCAATGTCCCATAGTTTAAAAAACAAGACAAAACAAGAATTTGTCATGAACCAATGACAACTCATGGTGACCCCATGTGTTTCAGAGTAGAACTGTACCCCATAGGATTTTCATAACTATACATCACAGGCCTTTCTTCTAATGTGCCTCTGTGTGGGTCTAAACCAACCTTTTGGTTAGTAGGTGAGTGTTCAACCATTTGCACTACCTAGGGACTCCCCTCCAAGGAGCTCTAGTAACACAGTGGTTAACAGAACAGGTCCAGCTGATTAACCTCAAGGTCAGCAATTCAAAACTACCAGCTGTTCTGCAGGAGAATGATGAGGCTTTCTGGTTGCATAAAGGTTGACAGCCTCGGAAACCCTACACAGGGTCATTGGAAGTTGGAATGGAATCCACAGCACATAACCACCACCACCACCACCAGGGACAACCACCCTGTCCCCATATTATATTGAGAGGGATTAACTAAGCTCATGGGAAAATGGACTAAAAAGATAATGGCATTTCAGGAGTGGAATGTGGGACCCTATCCAGGGAAGCAGCCACACCAGAGTTGGAGGCAGAGATGAAGACATGGAGAGAAAGAACAGCTGAGCTCATCTAGCTAACTCTAAATTCATGGAAAGAGAAAGGCTGCGTGCTCACAGCCAGGTGGCTGCCTTGCAGAATCTGCGCTTTGGTTGTTGAAATGATTAAATATTCCTGAGTGTTTCCGTTTATATCACAAAAACAAAACAAAAGAAACAGAGGGAATACAAGCAAATACTGTTGAATAATGATGCACAACGAAACGAAATACGATAGGGTGACTGTAATACTGATGTTCTCCCATGGAAACTATCACTCATTCACAATAAAAACTTAAAATAAAATAAAAAGATAATGGAATTTTCCTGCAAACTTTTGCAGTCTCTTAGTACAAATGTTGCTGTGGACAAATCCTAACACAAATAAGGGTACACGCAAAACTGACATTACGTTCAACACACAGGGTTCCACATCCTGGAATACTTATAGTAAGCTGTACCATAATTTAAACAGGGTTTTGACGAGTAGCCGCAAAACCAGACACTTAATGGCGCTGTAGTATAAAGGGCTGGACCACAGGTCAGTTTGAATCTCAAGGTAGGCAGTTCAAACTCACCAGGCCCTTCTTGGAAGCCCTCTACAGAGTTGCTATCAGTCTGAACAGACTCTATGGCTCTTAACAACCACAGCATATTTACCAAAAAAAAATGTTCCGCTCTTTACAAACATACAGGATATGACACTCACTCACAGTTGAAAATTCGATGCATTTTTTCACATAAATCTAGTCATTTAAAAAAAGTTCAATTCAGAAGGTTACCATGGTATTAAGAATTCAGCAGCTTAAACCTAGGTACAGTGATACAAGTTGAAGGGTCTCTTAAAGACTCTGCTTTGTAACAAAAACGAAATGGGAGCAAACACATTAATGAGAATCATAAACTGTCAATTATTTTATTATACATATTAAAACCCACATTAATAATAATCTTCACTTCTAAAAGTCCAGACAACCTCCACCAGGGCCGGCCACCCACTCTGGAAATCACCTGAGGTCCAAGACTGGAAAAGAGGCTCAGGAAGCTGCTGTGGACACAGGTTTTTTCAGCTAAAGCACACTAACACCTGAGACAGGAAATCCCTTCCTTTCAACACAGGCCAAAAGACCCCAAGAGCAGGGAAGCAAAGGGTTTCACTGCTTAGCCTACTTTTAGGAGGTAGCTGTCCATTGCAAGAGATTAGAAGCATTAGCTGCCTGGGCCAGTGCATAAGTCTCCAGGGTCGGGGTCCCGGCAGTAAAGGGGTTATCCGAGCCCCAGACCAGAAGAATTTGCGGGTGGACTAGGAGATCTCCCTTCCTTCTTCCTCCACGACCCCGACCCCAGGAGCCTGCGCATTTCCCTGCATGGGCAGGGTCCTCTCCCGCCACTCCCAGCTCCTGCCGAGCCCGCGGACTTCCATCGGGCTGGCCCTATCCCTTCCCCCGCACCCCGCGAGCTCACCGGCCGGTCAGCCTCCGCAACCCACAGGACCGCCACATGGCCTCGGTGGAAACAGTAAATGCACAGGCGCAGGCTGACAACCACTTTAAGGGACCTAGGAGCGCCGGAGGAGGGCCACGCACCGTCTGCTCCTCCCACTGGCCAGCGCCACAGAGCTAGACCCTTTCTGATAGGCTAGCAAAGAATAGGGTGGTTCCCACTGGCGTAGCGTGTAACCAAGGGGGCGTGTCTGGTCCTCATCGCCCCGCCTCCAAACTTCTGAAGTGGCGGAGCGGCTTTGGGGGGCTCTGGGCGGCGGAAAGGGGAGGGCTAGGGTTTCTGTGTTAAGGTCACCGCAGTCTTTCTGGCCTTGAGATGTTCCTACTTCATTTCCTCCACCCCCCTCCCCCCATTTTTACGTGTTTAATCTTTAGGTCATATGATGTAACAGTGACTTGCAGGTTACATAGTTGCCTTAGGGTTGATTAGTTTGTTTATAAAAATCAGAGGCTTGGAATTCCTAAGGCAATGGGTTTGGTGATGTTTTCTGGGCAATTCAGATTTTTTCTCAGTAAGCTGTTAACATTATTATTAGGTGCCACAGAGTCAGTTCCTACTCATAGAGACCCTATTCAAAAGGATGAAACTCTGCCCAATCCTCACAATCTCTGCTATGTTTGAGCCCATTGCTGCTGTCATTTCGTTAGGGCTCTTCCTGTTTTGCTAACCCTCCACTTTACTAAGCATGATGTACTTATCAAGGACTGGTCCCTCCTAATAGCATATCAAAAGTACAAAAGGCAATCCTTGCCTTCTGTGAGTCTAAGGAGCATCCTAACAACTTCCAAGACAGATTTGTTCTTTTGACAGTCCATAGTACTTTCAAAATTCTTTGCCAACACCATAATTCAAATGCATTAGTTCTTCTCTTGTCTTATTCACTGTCCAGCTTTCACATACATAGGAGGCAATTGAAAATACCATGGCTTGGGTCAGGTACACCTTAGTCCTCAAAGTGATATCTTTGATTTTTTTGCACTTTTAAGAAGTCTCTTGCAAAACGATTTGCCCAATGTGATTTGTAGTTTAATTTCTGATTGCTGCGTCCAATGATGTTGATTGTGGATCTGAATCAAATGTCATATTTGACAACTTCGATCTTTTCTCCATTGATCATGATATTGCCTACAGTTCTAGCTGTGAGGAAAACGTATGCAAGATTGCTATGAGTGGGAACCAACTCTATCTCACATAACCACCACCACCACTGTATCAAAAAGTGGGTAGCTTTAACGGACAGAGATTTATTTTCTCTTTGTTCCAGAGGTCAAAGTCTGAATTCATGACACCGGTTCTAGGGCACAGCCATCTCTGTTCGGTTTTGTAGAAAATCCTTGCCTCAGCTTCTTTAGCATTTTTCTTGGCATTCTTTTGAATGTCAGGGATCGATGAGGGTAAGTCTAAAAGGATTGCTACAAAATTATAGACACCTTTATTAAACAAAAGGTCAAAATGTGAAGCTATATTTTCCTTGACATAGTCTCAATCTCAACGTATGTATCTCTGAAGGCTGCCTTTCCATCTAACCCTTTCCTCTTCCATATACACCACATCAAAATGGCAGTTTTAGCACATTCTCAAGGGACTCAAACCATGTTTCTTTTAAATATTCTTTGAGATTGAGGGAAAAAAAGAAGTATGAAGGGTAATATCAGGCCATAGGGGTAAGGTTTCCCAATGAAATTCTCAAAGAACAGCCCTTACAACCCTCAAAGAATGAGCAGGTGCATTGTTGGGATGGAAAAACATTCCTTGGTGTATTTCCCTGGCCTTTTTCTCACCAATGCAGTGTTCAGTTTTCTTATAGCTTCTTCCTAATAAGCCTCCAATAGCATCCTGTATTGGAGGCTTATTAGGAAGATGCTATAAGAAAACAGTCAAGAAAACCTGCCAAGATTACCCACTTGTGGAATTCCAAAAAAACAGTCACCATAATCTTTTGAGCTAACTTCTTTGCCTTGAATTTAACTGGTCCAGCAGATGACCTGGGAAGCCACAGTTTTGATTGTACCTTTTATTTGAAGATATCCTAGTAAGCCCTGGTAGCCTTGTGGGATACATGTGAGGCTGCGAACCGCCAGGTCAGCAGTTTGAATCTACCAGCTGCTCCATGGGAAAAGATGAGGCTTTCTGCTCCCATAAAGATTTAGAGCCTCAGAAGCCCAATACAGGGTCACAGGTAACAGACTCAGTGACACACAACCACCTTAAAGGGACTAAGAAACATGTTGTTATTGAGAGAACTGGTCTGCAGCCATCCACAGATCACAACTTGATGATTTAACATGTCTTGTTTGGCATAAACCAGTCCCTCTATGCACTGAAACCCTAGTATCAATACTTTAGGACTTACCGTACCTCATTCTGTGCTTGCTCATCTGCTCTTTTTATATCCCAAAAGTCATTGGTTTAAAACACATCCTAAACTGATAGGGCCTAATTAAAACAGCAAAGAAAACTCTTATTTCAGAATGGGATTA